GTCCGCTCCTCACCTCCTGGATAGTGACACCATGCTGTAACCCTGGATTCTGTTCCTGACCCTGACATAGCCCCAGCTCATGACTCTACTCAGGGTGACCACCTGTGTCCTGGGGGCTTATGGACCTTGGCCTCCAGCCCCGCCTCCTCCTGATCCCATGGCTCTAGCTGGGACCTTTGCTTCCTGACCTTCTCTCCTGCTAATCCCCAGGGTTGCGACCCTTTAGGGTCAAGCTCCGACTACCCATATCCTGGTTATACAATCTGACAAGGGCATTTTCAGTCCCTTTGGATAACAATGATACATGCACAGTCCATTCAACTTATGCATTCATTGAATTTGGTTGATTTTTTAGAATAATCCACATCTCCCACTTCCCAGGAGAGGGCCCTAACTACCAAACTATAAAGCCTGGCAGGGGGATGGCACTCTCCACCTCCTGAAACCAGATCGAATGCAGCAGTCATGGGGCCAAGAGAAGACCAAGGAAGCCAGCCTGACTGTGAAGCCTAATGATTACAGCACTGCCTTTAGTGGACAGGCAGTCTTGGGATCTAACCCCAGTTGCTAGCACTGCAAGTCATGAGCAATCACTGGCTGCAAAACAGTAGCAATAGTAGAAGTAGGACTCTTACCAATATTACCTTTGTGATTTTGCTTGCCAGCTGCATGACTGTGCCTCCACCACACTCTGCAGCCCCTGGTTTTCTGGCTGATCTGCTCTCGGGCCTCTCTCCATGCTCTGCAGCCTCAGGTTGCTCTAACTAACTAACTCAGGAGCTCTAACTTCTTTGGTGGCCAGGCTACAACTACCAAATTTCTTCCTGACTCCCTTCCTATACAGCCCAAAAAGGGCAGAGCCAGGAGTGAACAGGCCCACTGCCTTAAAGGGGCCTCCACCCAGTACTACCACCAACAATTTACAAATAGGAAAGGACTGGAAAAAGTTGCTGAAGGAGCAGAAGCAGATCTTGTGGCTGAACATATTGTTTATGAAGAAATGAGGATTAAATAGACAGCCTGCACAGTATGCATGAACAACTAAAACAATTAGGTAACCTACACTTCATTACACTGACGCACACTTGAATGTTGCAAGGGTGGTGAAGGAAAATGTTTGGTTGTTGTACCTGACCTTATTGTTTGGTTCCCGCACCCTCTAGATCATCTTCACATTTGGAATAGCTCTTTCCTTTTAAACTATACCTACCCTGATGTTCAGCACACCAAATATATTCCACCTGTTCCTCACTACCTGAAGGGAGTTGAAAGGGCTTTGGTCCTCTCTATAGCCTGGGAGATCATAGGAAAGTAGAGCTGGAAGGGACCTCACATCCAGCCCCTTGTTCAAGGCAGGATCATCCCTGGTTAATCATCTCAGCCCAGGGTCTGTACAACCTACTTATGAACATTTGTAGAGATGGATATTCCACAGCTTCTCTGAATAGCCTGTTCCAATGCTTAATCACCCTCATAGTCAGAAAGTTCTTCCTGGTCTCGAATCTACATTTCCTCTGCTGCAGTTTGCCACAGAGAATAGTCTATCTCCCTGCTCTCTATAATCACTCTTCAGCTATTTGAAGACTGTTATCAAACCCCTCTTCAGCCTTTTCTTATCCAAACTAAACAACACTAGTTCTTTCAGCCTGTCCTAGCCTGCTTCCCAGGCCTCTAATCATCTTTGTTGCTCTATGCTAGACTCTTTCCAAACTCTCCACATCCTTCTTGAAGTGTGGGGCCAAAATTGGACACAGTACTCCAGATGAGGCCTCACCAGCACTTTCATTGTACAGCACGAGTCACTTCCTTTGATTTGCAAGTGATGCTCCTGTTAACACTACTCAGTATGCTCTTGGCACACTGTTGGCTCATATTCAGCTTATACTGTACTGCAACCCAATAAATCCTTCTCTTCAGTATCACAGCCTAGCCAGTTGTTCCCCAGCCTTTAATTATGCAACTGTTCTATCCAATGTGTAGAACTTCACACTTGTTTTTGTTGAATTTCATTTAGTTAGTTGCAAACCATTTTTCCAGTCTATCCAGGTAATTCTGGATCCTAGCCGTACCCTCCAGAGTGTCTGCAGCTCCACACAACTTGGTGTCATCTGCAAATTTGTCACTTTATCATAGAAGGAAAACAAACTGAACAGGCATGACTTGCTCTTGATGAATCCATGATGGATGCTCTTGACCACCTCGGTCTCCTCTAGATGCTTTGAAATATATTCCCTGAGGACCTGTTCCATGATTTTTCTAGGTGTTGAGGTCAGGTCAGGCTTACTTGTCTGTAATTTCCCAGAACTTCCTTTTTCTCTTCCTTAAAGATGGGAACTACAGTTGCCCTTTTCCAATTATCCAGGACTCAGGCAACCTCCAAGAGTAGCAAATGTCTTCAAAATTACCTCAGTAAGTTCCTTTAGTACCCTAGGGTGCACCCCATCCACCCCTGCCACCTTGAAAACATCTAGCTTCCCGAAGTAATTCCTAACCTGTTCTTCCACACTCCAGGCTGTTTGTCATCTTTCCTATCTTTGCCGCCAAAAGCGCTCGTCACTGGTAGCTGACCCTATTTGTGAAGCCTGAAGTAAAAAAAACAAAAAAACAAAAACAAAAAACAAAAAACAAAAAACCAACACATTACTTTAGGCTTCTTTGCACCACCTGTAACTAAGGTTACCTTCATCATACCAAAAGGGATAAATGGTCTCTTTGGTCTTCCTCTTACTTTTGACATACGTATTGAAATCTTCTCTTGTTTTGCCTTTGCATGTCCTTTGCTAGTTGCATCTCAAATTGTGCTTTGGCCTTCCTAATTTTCTCCTTGCATGCCCATGCAATACTAATACTCTTCCCTAGTAATATGACCGAGATTCCATGTAGCGTAGATTCCATTTTGCATTTCAGCTGATTGAAAAGACTGCTGTCTAGCCAGGCTGGTCTCCTGTTAAACTTCCCATTCTTCCATTGCATTGGGATAGCTTTCTCCTAACCTTTCTTTTGGCAATTTTCCTGTCTTTTAGCTACTCCTGCTCTCTCTCCACCTATTTCACAGCTTTGCAGAATATTTTAACTCTTTTCAAAATCATAGATCCATCAGTGGGGACCAGTCTTAGGAACAGTTAGGGTGTAATGAGGTGTGGTGAGTATAGCAAGGTGCCACAAGTCAGAATCAGCCTTGCTCTGGTTTCAGGGGGAACAATGCTGTCTTGGAAGAGAGCCAGTCTTGGGTTGAACAGCTTTTGGTAAAGCAGGAAATGGAAGGCAAGATGAAGATTTATCTGTCCCTGCTCTATGCAGCCATAATGCTGGAATAAATTCTCTCTCCATTTTGCCTCCCCAAAAACAAGGTGCATGTCTTATCTGGGGGCACATGGTATGCAAGAAAATATGGTAACATTTTTCTTCACAGTCTCAGATAACTTTGTTGCACCTTCATCACATTCACCATCACAGTTTTCCTTTCAGTGGTGTCTTCTGTAAAGATTTTCTTACCTAGATTTAGAGACTAAAAATGTCAGAGATATGCTTATCTTGGTTCATCTGCAGATGGGCTATTCAGCAAGAACCATGCATCAAAGCTGATGAGCAAAGATTCTAAGGTGAAGCTGGATTTTGATCCTAAATTACCTGGGCCAAATTCAAAAACTTATTTAATAAAAGTTAGAAAATATAGAAATGTACCTCTCAGGTTATCTCATCATTAATATTAATACAAACTCTATCAAATGTGATTATTGAGCATATCTTGCTTATTTTCAAGAAGAAATACCTATGTTTAATTATCTATATAAGCTGCATCTGCACTAAACCAGATCCACCTGGTATAAAAACACTAAATGACTTGTGACCAAAAGATAACCATCTTACCTTGTCTTTCCTTTTGCCTTCTGAACTGTTGTCATGTATAACATTTTCTTCCCTGTTCAGCTAGGAACAGACATTACACATAAGCCAATTTAAGTGATCAGAAACTGGTTTAAACCTGTAACAGAACAGATGCTCAGTGAACATAAATCAGTTTGAAAAGGGCTGAAAACAGTTTGAGATAAACCTGGTTGAATGTAGTATCAGACATAACTGATTTGGCTCAAACTGGTTTATGCAATGTCTGTCCCAGACCCCTTTCTGGTTTAAGATAAACCAGCCTCCCCCAGCGTCCCAGCATACTCTCTGGGCTGGATGGGACTCTGTGCTCCACAGCAGAACTGGCCCTTCCCCTCTGCTCCCTGGCTGCAACTCTGGCAGAGACTGCAGGCTGCTCCCCCCCACACTCCCTGCTAACCTTGAATTTCCCCCACCCCTCTGCCTTTCTGAGAGGTGCCTGTGTATTAGCTAGCAGACCACATGCCAGCTACAATCCTTGTTGTGGTAGATGGAACAAAGACAGAATCAATAGATAGCTGGTAATGTTGTTTTCTTAATGGGGTAATAAACATTGAGTTAGGGGTGATAAACACTGTTATCAATTCCCTGCTGGGCTTATTCAGAACGTCCTGCTAGGGCCTGGCCACACCGCTCCCATAGCTCAGTGCTATGGAGGGGAAGGGAGGGCTTCTCTAGTGCCCCCCCGCCCCCCGGCTTCTAGCCTAAGCCACTGCAGGCATGTGTCTGCATATATGGGATATCTGTATGGTTACAAACTGATTTAGCCTAGCCAGGTTAGACTAACCTGCAAAGATTGAATCAATTCAGGCCCTAGCCTTTATGTCCTTTGCCTCTTCCTCTCTTACCCAAAGTCTGCTCAAGCAAATGTTATAATGTACTACTGTTAAGTAGCTTAGGATCTACTATAGGCTACCCTGTGCCCTATGTTTCTGAAAGTACCAGAACCTAATCAGAACAGCAGCAAGGCCCTGCATGTTGCATATATTCAGGAAACATGGTTGATGTTGGGACCATATCATGCAAGTGTGATCTCTTCAGGTGAGAAAGAATCAAAGACATACTCATCTGTTAATTCCATACTGGTGGCAAGCATGGGCACAGCTACCTCAGGGTCAGTTTGCATCAGCAGAAGATAGTCCGTTTTTATTTACCAAATGTCCTGATCCGCTGCACATACAAGCAGAGGTGAGGTGTACTAGCAAACATAACAGCCAACCTTGTCTCGGGGGGGAAATCACCCTGGTTTTTGCACTTAAATGTGGCAGGAATGTACATGGTGCTAATAGACAAATAGCATGTGTTTACAGAATCACATCCCATAGCCCATCATTGAAACTGTTTCAGCCCTGGATTCAAATGCAGTTAATAAGCTCTGAAGAGATGTTCTCAAAGAATTAGGCATATACTAAACACTCTTGAAGCATCCGAGGAGAACTCGGCAGACATCTGCATTCATCTTAGGATAGCCTGGATCTGGTAGGGATGTGGGAAATGTACGATGGCAAAACACCCATCCTCTTGAGGCCTGGGTTGGTCCTCAGGGACCTGGAAAGTGAAACACTGCAGGAGGCTGGTGAAGAAGAGGAAGAGCTCCATCCTGGCCAGCTGCTCTCCCAGACAGATACGGCGACCTAAGACAGAAGGAGTGAGGAGAAGGAGAAGAGGAAGGTGGTGTTTGTGAACGAGCATGGCAAAGCAACTGTAAGTTATGAGACACTGAAAGGGGAGCTTCCTCATGGCATGACCACAGATTGGAGTGAAGTGGAGAATCTGTCCACACACACACACTTTCTATTCCCAGACTGTGTACAGAGGGATTTGGGTGAAATGCCTCTGTGGATTGCTTAACATTCCCTTTCCTTTGGTACCAGAAGATGCAGAGGAAAGCATAAACACAGGACTTTGTCAGGGGTGGTTTTTTTGGTGAGGCTGCTCCAAAAAAGACTCAGAGAAGTAGGCCGTCTCCAAATAAAATGCAGTTACATCCTTGAATTAATTTCTTTGAAGTCAGCAACCAAAGAGCTCATTTTCTTGTGTGAGCAACCAGAGAAGGCAAAGCTAGGAACCTGGCAGTGAGAGGCAGGCACCAACAGAAAGCACAAGGGAGATGAGTCTGTGTGCTCAATTAGTTATTCAAGGACTAAAATAAAACCCATCAAATAGAACAAATGAATTTGGCTTGTAACTTAAAGGATAACACTTACATCACCCTCGTACCCAGACAGTGTAAACTCTCCTGTAACATGGCCACAGGTGAGAATCTGCCAAATCAGATATGTGTCAGGCCTTTACCTTTGACAGGATCCCTTATCCCTCTCTGCAGCAGGAAGAGCTGGCTGCATGCCACAGCCCATGGCAGGGGCTGGGTCATAAGCAGCAGCAGCAGCCCACAGTGGCCAAAAGGTTGCCAAGCCCTGCTCCAGGCAAGTTGACCATATTTTGGGAGGGAACCAAGGCAGATGGACAGACAAGATGCCCACTTGCTGGCACTGGAAGAGGAAGAGGCAGATTATTCCTCTGGCCCAGTGACAGACCTCTGCAGGGATGGTCTCTCCCAGCTGTTCCAACCCAAGGACTCACCTGCAGAGAAAGGCAGAAAGGCCTCTCACTTCACAAACTGCCCATCTGCATCCAGGAAGTGCTCTGGGTAAAATTGGTGCGGCTTCTCCCAAAAGGTTTTATCCTTCAACACGGAGGACAAGTTGGTGATGATGACCGTATCCTAGGCAGCCCACAAACAGAAGAGATATGTAAGGACGCAAGATAAGCCACCCCAGAGCAGAATGATGTCCCTCTGTATTCAGTAGCTCACCTCCTGCCTCTGATTCTCAATTACTAGAGGTTCTCAACCAACCACCTCCCCTGTGGCTCCATGGGACAGGAGCCCCCGAAACATCATTCTGCTGTAACAAGGAAGAGCAGTGCATTCATTACAGGATAGGGCCACTGTAAACCACTTCCCAGAGTCCATACAAGCCCAGCACCAGAGCTGGAAGAAGACAATGTGCAGGTCTCTCTGAGCAGCCAAAGGACACATCCTGAGCTCCTTTCACCTTTGGAACAACAGTGGGAGGCCAGAGCTTCTGAAATAGCAGCCACAGAGCCAGGAGCTCTCCCACATTCATTTAGGATATTCAGTATCCTATCTCCAGTAGTGGCCACTGTTCGGTCTTCAGAAGGAGGCAGAGAACACTTCTGATGCCCCTGATAGTGCAGGGAAACTAGGCTCTGATGTTTGCTATTAAACTTTAAAACCAGATGCCCTTGTGGTTTGAGTCCTAACTAACGTCATCATATGAAGGGCATTTGTACCGCGGACTACTGAGAGGCACATTGTGAAAACCATTCCCCAGCACCTCCAAAGCTTGCTGTGAGATTGATTTTAGCACTAGAGAAACAGTCCTAATTCACCAACTCCAACAATGCTGATTCTCATTTGACTGTGGGGAAAATCGTGATCTTTCCCCAGTCTCAGGCTATAGGCCTGAGCTAAAGGAACTAATTGTAAGGCCAAACTGGGAAGGTAGTATTTCACAATCTTGGCATCTCTAGCAAGGCTGCCAGCAAAGAAGCACAATTAGTGCCAGATGTTACCACTTAGACCAGAACTGAGATATCCAGTGGCCTCTAAATAGCTATTGCCATCCTGGATTTCAACTGGTGACCTGGGGAGTTTCTGCAGCCTAGTCCAGGCAACCTGTGCACCTCACTTACCTCCACCTCCAGTATGGGCCTGTGTTAGTTTCAAACCATTTTCGAGCTGTACATTTTATAACTAACTACTGACCATGCGATTCAGGGCCCAATACCACACCTCACTCTTCACAGAACTTTGGAGAGATTCCCATATGGACTACCTAGAGCAACAGGACATCAGTCTGCAAAGGGAAAGGAAGTCTGCCTTCTCCACCTGGCTATACAAACCTTAGGAATGAAGAATCCTTGAAGCTCAGTGTCCCGGTATGTCATGTGAGGCAGTCCAGTGGGAACAATATCCCCATAATGCTGTATTTCATGGATCACAGCATTGGTGTAAGGCATATTTGCTTGGTCCAGCATGTTGGGTGACTGATCCCTGCCAATCACCTTATCAATTTCCTCATGGACTTTTCCTGGAAAAGGACATTTTATGTGGGCAAGATATAAGGTATCTAATGGTGAGCATCAGCCCTGGAGGAACAGGGGGGTATGGACTTCCTCTTGACTTAATATTTTCTGGGGCAGTAACTGTGTCTCTCTCTTTGTGCAGCACCTAGCACGTATGGGGAACAAGACTGAACCAAAACCTTTGGGAACAATTTTTATGTAAACATATACTGCTGCTACTAATACTAATGAATAATTTGATCTGACAGTCGGGTCTTGTGTGAGCTGCAAGAGGTGTAGATGATGACCACTTTGGGCAGGGGGGCTGCTAAGGAGGTGGATTTTATCTAGAGATGCAGGGGGATGCTGGTACAGGTTGAGAGAGAAGAGTCCTAAATACCTTCTGTAGACAGTGGTAGAAGAGGGATCAGAAGCGGTGGGTGGGAATAGGAGCTGAAGGGAATCATGCTCATCTTCAATTATTCAGGGCAACTTATATATTCATCCTCTATTAATTAAACCCAGGGAACAGTCTTGTACCTAGGAGATCTCTCACCTCATCCACACTATTGGGCCTAAAATGCACAGGTGCCTCCAGCATTTGGATTATTTAGGCAGATGAGCATTTAGCCTTAGGAAGGCACAAGGACCTTTAAGAATGGAAAAGGCTACCAAGGAGCTGTGACAGTCCCAAAGTGCATTTGACATTGAAGTTTTTAAATTAAAGCTTTCCCTTCTCTTTTCCTGCCACGTGCCTTTGTGCTACTCATCTCAGCACTTAAAAATCTGTGGAACTCTCCCCCCTCGAGCCCTTCTCCATCACTGCTATGACCATTGCTACTGTTGCTTCACCTTTCTACAGCACAATGAAGCAGATACTGAGAACTTTTTCATGGAAGGCACGGAGCAGAGGAAACAAATCACATCTCCCCCCTGCTTCTCACTTACTCTGAACCTCAGGGTGGAGAAGCATGTATAACACTGCCCAGCACAGGGTGGTGGTGGTGGTCTCAGTGCCAGCCAAAAACAGGTCAACAGTTACTAAATGAAGGTTTTCATAAGAGAAACTGGTCTCCACACCCTCCTTGGTCTGAAAGGAACAAAGAAAAATGAGATCCAGCCAGAGTTTTGTTTGAGGCAGAAAATCATAGTTCTAGCTAAGAGACCAATTCATTCTCTCAGACTGGCAAATCAAGGGTTTAGCCAGGGGCGACACGCAGGGGGTGCATGCGGGTGCACATGCACCCCCTGAGCGTGGTGGTGCACCTCTGCAAAAAGACGCTGCTGATACTGTAGGCAGCACCTGTGGGCAATTGTTGCTTGCCACCCTGCCGTCAACACCACCAGCAGCATCTGTGGGCAGTCAGCAATCCCCGCTGGACGCTGCTGACACTGCCAGTGGTGCCTGCGGGTGGTTGCCGACCCCTGGTTGGCACTCACCACCTCCCCCCTACCGACAACAGTGCTGGTGGCATCTGGGGGAGCTCCTTGCTCACTGCCGCCATGCTCCCAACACTACCAGTGCAGTCGTGCCTCCCCAGCCACCGAGGGGCACACACCATTCATGGTTTTAGCAAAGCTGAGTGAAATACAAGCGGTTGCATGCATACAATAAATACACAGTAGTAACTCTATAGTTATGTATTTCTGAAGGTCATCAGTTATCCCCCATACCCAGGCAACATGGATCTCCAGGTTGATATCTGGGATTATATTCAGGACCACCTGTCTGAAAACAGTGGCTCCTACCATCTGAACTAAAGCAAAGTCTACCACTGGCTGCTGTAGTATTCAAGCTTCTACAGCCTACAGTGGGTAACATGACTATTCATACTCTATGGAATCTGAAATTCTGTCATAAAGCAGGGTGCATGTACTAAACACTCTAAGATAGCATCAGGTTTTAAAAAGTCTGCATGTCTGTGGAATACAGTATGTCCCTGCTTTGCACAAAGCAGGGGAATTGGTAAATACTTGGCCAATTAACTAACTGAACCCTTGCAAATTCACTGCTTTGGCAATTAAATTCACTTAAATCACTAGAAGATTAAGACAACCCAAACTGGACTTTATCAGCACAAGGCTAATAATTCAGCACCTAAACATAAAAGGAAAGAAGCATAAGAAAGCCCAAGGAATATGTTTTCTTACTAAGCTCTCTTCCTACTTTCCTTCTAGGCCCACAGAGGGAAACAGAACATAGCTGTAGTAGCAGTCCATCTATTTTAATGTTTTTTCCCCAAAGTACATAAATTTCTAATTTAGGCAAAAGGCTGGAAATGGAAGAGGCCTTTGAACCAGAAGCCTCTGAAAAATAGTTTTTCAATGATCTTCAGAAAGTGTCAATAAGACAGGGCTGTTCAGCTTCTAAGTGGCTAGAGACCACACCCCAAATGGGCTGCAATAATACAAGCCACAGGTCCCCAAGGCCACTGCTAGACACGTATGTCCATAGCCTGCATCAACACCTGTGCCTGTTCTGTACAGATCCACAAATTGGGGTTTTGCTATCTCAAGGGCTCTAATACTTCTTGCCATACCTTAGCTCTCCTTGATGTTTCCTCCCATTTTCCACCCTCACCTGCTTTGGAAGTATTGAGGTTTCAGAGCTATGGCTAAAAAGATATAAAAATGGATTGATTGGATTTTTGGCATGAAGTGTTTTTCCAACTAGGTACAGTCGGCAACCTGTAGTTAGCATTTCTCCTGGGACTTAGATAAAAAAGATAAAAACTATTAAGTACCTAGTTGGTTTACATCAGTGCTGCTCTACAGGCGAGAGCGCTAAGGATGAGAAACAGCATCCACTGGAATTAGTGGGGGTTCTTTTCACCAACTTCACTGGATACTGTATGAAATCTTCAGTACAAAATGGAATCTCCTAGTACCAGCTCATCCTCCAAGTGATTTCTGAGCATGAACTCACTAAGCTAAGAGTCTCAGATACACAACAATCACTTCCTTCTTAGCGTTGCTGCAAATCACAGAGGTGCTCCAGATGGAATCCAGTGTGTATACCAGAACCTCTGAACTATATGAACTTGCAGAATGTATTAAAGAAGAGAGTAGGTTGGCATCCTACCCTATTATTTTGTTATTCAGACTTGGGCCACTTGATCCATGTACTAGTGATAAGAGAACGTTGAAAGAGAGAAATGAGCTATTCACTGTACAACGTTGCTCGTAACATTTGCAGATTGCTTCACATACAAGAGCATACGAGCTGCTTTATATATGAAAGGAACCAATAGAGATTGTTCCTTTACTAGTGTATTCACCAAGCACAAAACTATACATTCAAAGAGGTCCTGTTGGTTTCCTACCTTCTCCATCTCTTGTAGAAATGCATCAGTAAAGTCTCTGATGTGGGTAGAATCCCAGGTCTCTTTGTGCTTCTTCAAAATCGCATCTATTAAGCTCATGGAGGCCCTTTGGTATTGAAATGCCTTTTGTGGCACTCCAGGGATGCGTAGCAAAAAAGGCACTTCATTAAGGAGCTAGAATACCAAAGTGAGCGAGACAAAGGGTTAATAGAACACCATCTGGTTGCTCAATCATTAGCAGCTTCTCCCCAAGTAAATTATCCTTGCTGGTTTACCTGGGGCAAGAATCCACTCTCTTCCTTCATGCTCTCTTGAAAGATTTCCACAAGCCTCTGAAATTTCTCATCATCATAGTCAAAGCGCTCACCAAAGGTAAGAGAGTCGATCACATTGGAAACTGCCTTCTTTAAAAGAAAAAGTGGATCAAAAGGGTGACCTGAAAAAAAGAAATTATGACATCATTTTCAATCCCAAATGGATATTCTGTGAAAATAATGACAGGACGTAGACCAGAGCTGGCTACATCATGAATGACATGTGCCCCCAGGGGCTGGGGGGCACGGTGGTGGTGGGAGCATGGCGACACTAAGTGGGGGAGCTCCCACAGATGCCGCTGGCAGCAGCTGGGACAGGGAGGGTGGCAAGCACTGACCAAGGGTTGGCAACCAGCCGCAGCCACTGCTGGCAGCAGCAGCAGCAGCCAGAAGGGATTGCAGAGCACCCACAGATGCCACCAGCGGTGTTGGTGGTGGTGAGCAGTGACCACCCACAGAAGCCAGTTGGGGTGAACGTGCACCCCCTATGCATCGCCCCTGGGCTACATGATAGTGCTAGGTGCGTGATCATTATCTTTTTGGTCCCCAAAGCATTCTAATATCTTTATGGATAGAAGACAACATACAGAAATTAGTATGCCTTTCTTCAGAAATTATTTCCTTATACATGACTTATTTAAATCCAATTCCCCATCTCCCTGGATGAGACGAACCTTCTTTAGAGCTGACTGCAGAGCACAGAAATCCAGCTTCTTGAGAAATCTGGTTCTCCAAGGATTTCTTTCCCATCCCAAAGTTCTTCAAGGTGGAGAGTGCAAATCTCCTTTGTTCTCTCCAGGCAGGACCAAACCTTGAGATTATTAACCCTGAAAAGACAATTATTTAACAGGATATATAAAGAGCTCTGTGAACTATATCAGACAAAATTCACTGAAGAGTAACAAAATTGGGCTTAGAGAACTGACTTGAGAGGAAAGATGAAAGCAGAAGAATATGTATGGCTTGACAAATGAAAGGGACTTATGGTTTCAACCTTCCCCTGTGTAGCTGGTTAAGAGGAGGAATTAATTTGAAAGGTGCAAAGTGTACCTGGAAGCAACAATATGTAATACAACTTGGAAAAAAATTGGGGTCATTTCCTCAACTTATATAAATTGATGTGATCAGTGGTGTTTTGCCAGTATACCAGAGTTGAGGGTATGGGCCTCAGGTCAGAGGTCAAAAAACATTTCCTAAGGATTAAACTGTTGGATAGAACTGCTGGAAATGGTACTGTAGGCAACACTTTTGCCTTGGCTAGAGTGTGGGAGAGGGAAAGTATGGTTTCTCTCAGTTAAAAGTTTGGACTAGATGACCTCTGGAGGTACCCTCCAAACCTTCTTGTCTCTGTTTCTATGACAAGTTGTGACTAAAGGTTTCTCAGCTCCAATTTTATGTTGTGGAAGGATGTTATGGAAGGGATTTGTGATAATTCAAGATAGTACCCAGACTAACAAGCCTCCCTTTCAGACTGTATTTCTTTCTACTCTCCCACATATTCACTGTCAGTTCCAGGAGATTCCTTGTAAAAATATATTTCTTTACGACCTGACAAAGCAACATACAGAACATGAGAAACATGAATGAAATAGAAATCCACCAGTTCTGATTATGGGTGACAAGGGGTACAAGTAACCCTGAAAATCTTACTTAACATTACAGAACAGCCACTTCCTATTATACCCAGTAACAGTTCAATCTGCTCACTAGAGCCAAGAGAAGGGGAGGAAACTATGAGAGGCAGTGGTAGAGTCAGGTTCCAGCACAAGGAGCATAAGCAAAGGGACAAGAAAAGAGGCAGCACACTGGCCAATTCACCTCCAATTTACAAGCCAGTCATCTCTGAACTACGGTCAGAAACTGTTGTTAGTTTTCATGGCACTTGCCTTCAGAGCGCTCGTAATAACCTAGGTGCTCGTATCTAGGAAAATAAGGTCGGTCAGCAAAGTCCTCTGCTTTCTGGACCAGTGCATCCTTCACTGCCTTGTACCCGTTCACCACCACCATGTTACTCCAGAAGTACTGAAGACTAAAAACATTCCCAAACTTCTTACTCAGCTGTCAAGAGAAAAAGAAGAAAGAAAAGCTGTTGATTTCTATGGCTGAAAACCAGGTCGTGCTTTGTTTTTTTCAGACTGTGATGCTAAAATGTATCTAAGTGTTTTGGAGGATCTTGAATGATCTCATGAGGTCCCTTCCAGCCCTAAACTTCTGTGAATCTGTAAAATTATCACAAATTATCTTTATCACAAAGAACTTTAGCAATCAATTAATGATACAAATATTTCTGCAGAGCAACAACTCATGGCAACTTACCACAGCACCTTTCACAGGCAATGGAAAAAAAACACCATTATTAGCTGATAGTGTAATTTAGGAGAATTTAAGTTAGCAGAACAAAATTATGCCCAAGGTAAAATTTTGCCAGCAATATCATAAAAACCCCCTTGCGATTTTGAATGACTACAAGAAGTTAGAACTCCTCTGGCTTCTTCAAAGATAGCCCATGGAACAACTCAGACACAGTTGACCTGAGTAGCTAGTTAACCTGGAGTTGTTTATGCGTTGCCATTATGAGAAATTGCTTGCACAAGGTTCATAATCCTATCACAGCATGGATCAGGGGAGTAGGAGGGGAGCAGTTTCTTGTCCACCTTCACTGATGTGGTTGGCCTTTTATTGCTAAATATACAGCGAGATGGCTCACTTCTAGATATAAGAAGGAATTTAAAATGTGATACAGTTCTCCTACGAACACCAGAGCAGAGGGCAATGATCTTTAGACCAAGGCAAACTATTACCAGTTGTGATTCCAAGTGTTAATGTGTTGATTAGGTTTCTTAAACCAGAACATGACTGTAAAAAGGAGGATCCTATAGCTAGAAAGGACGCAAGAAGTTCACCTTAAGTCCAGAATTTCAGGCCAGGACCTGAATGGCTCTGTGGAGTTGGATGCACCCAAAGATTGTTTGGTGCATATTACCTGCTGAGTTGCAAAGTCCTTTAACCCACCAGCTACCCTGATCCTGGCTCGGCTGTATGCCAATCCAGTTCCATTTCCCTAGAACAGGGGTGTTCAACATTTTTGCCTTGTAGGCCAGATGGGCAGCACCCACATCTGCAAGCTAGATCCAGCCAATGGGCCTAATCTGGGGCATGGCAGGGTCTGATTCAGCTATATGAAGGGGGCAGAGGGGCATGGCCCAACCTTGATCCAGTTGCATGGGGTGAAGGGGTGTGGTCCAGCCCCAATATGGGCCCTGATATGGCTGTGGGGGGCTTGGGACTTAAGACAGTGGGGAAGGGGTGGCAGTATGAATTGCCCCCACAACCAAATTTCCTGATCCACAGGGAATCCTGTGGCATGGATGCCATGGCTCTGGCCCAGGGGTTGAGTACCCTTGACCTAGAAGAAGTGAGATTACCCTGGCAGCTGTTCAAAATTGCAGCACATACCAGTGGCCCCCAAGGGTCATCACAGCAACTGGAGGAAGCAGGGCACAGGGAAACCCTGTTCATGCCTTCCAGCTGTTAGAAAGGGGTGGTATAGCCCTTACTATGTAGCTGTCCATCATCAGATGGGAAGAGGGTTCCGCAACCCCTGTATTGAATGAACTTGCTGTGTTTCGCTACACCAGCTTTTGGCTACTTTGTCCCATTCCAATGGTACCAGAATTTCTCACCTCTTATCTAGGAAATTGAGAGTTGTAAATACAAGTGTGAAAGGGGTACACTCCTCTGGGACCAAAGTATCGCGGGCAGGGAGAACAAATCCATTCTCTGGGTACAAGCGTGGAAAATACAAACTCACAATTTACCACTTCCCATTTTTTATGTCATCTACTCCCATAGCAGCCTAGCTGTTAAGGAACAGCACTCCTGCCTCACCAGAGTGGTATCTCTGAACAAGGGGATGATGACCCACCTCTGGAAGGCAGTGACACAGCTACTTCTGTGGTAATGCCGAGTGCTCACCTCCGTAGCAGATAGGTATTGTTTAACTAGGATTGAATTCAAAGAGTAATCAAAGATTTTAAAAAATAGACAGGCCAAGGAATGATGAAAGATTAAATGAGCTGTGTCAACTGACCAAATATCCAAGCTATGGAAACAGAATCACTGCCTGCAAACATTTGAAAGGTGATAAAGGGAATCACTTTATGGGTGCTAGAGTAAGGAAATGGGTCTAAAAATAGGAAATGTAGTCTCTGAACATCAAGGAACCAACTTGGTCCACACAGGGAGTTAGTTCAGGGTAGCCAGCACTGCAAATTCCCACCCTAGCTTACTGGACATTGACCTCCTCCCATAGCCAAGCTTATAGACAGGGGAGACAGCCCACAGGTGAACTGGTGAAAACCACATTGCCAGTCATTACCAGTGGATAAAGCTCTCAGGAATATACTTAAAAAGAGGTGGCAGGGTGATAGGATAAAATGCCATTTCTATTTCTACTTCCTGCTTTTCTCCAAGTAATAGGAGTTGTTTTCATTTCTGCTTGTGACACAGAAATGGGGCCGAAAAAGAGAGTAGGATGGTCCAACTAAAAAAGTGCTCTTAAAAGCAGTCCCTAGTCAACACTTCAGTGACAAGGATTGTTATAATCTGATTTGATCCTGAAACACAAATGGCTTTTTCTACTCCCTGGCAAAAAAAACCCCCATGATCCAAGGTCAATTTCTCCACTTGGAAACATGAGTGCAATGGTGCCAAACTAGAACAGGGCCTGTAGAGTTTGCAGGTTCAACCACAAGATAAAGCAAGATGTATTTCCTTTAAGATGCAACATATTTTCCTTAAAAGAAAAATGGAAGTCTACACTTGCTGAATAATTAATGTTGCTAGAGTTGTGGATATTCTGGATACAGCAGGCAAGATATTTAAAGCTGTATAGCTGGAGACCCCAACTGTTTCACCTTTGCTGAGACTTTCAAATGCTTCCAGTACTATAGAGCTAGCTTACAGATTATGCTATTCAACAGCCAAATCTCCAAATCAGAGACATCTGTCCTGGGAAAAAAGTTTTCCTATACAATAAGCTTTCTTTAGCTCTGAATTCTCAGCTTTTTGAGGCTCAAAGCACCCAGCCTTAAACTCAAGGAACTCCTTGGAAAATGGAGTTTTCATTATTTTTTTGACTATGGAAAAATAATACAGGATTTTTTTCTGTTGCAAAGAACTCAGCAAGACCACAACAGGTCAGAATGTTTTTAAGACTATGGATTCCTCTGAAATTTCTGGGTTTATCTTGTGAATTATGTTGGCACACCTAGCAGTATTGAACCCCCTGAAAGGATCTCAGAGGACCCCGTGGTGGCATCCTGGTTGAGAATCAGTGCTCTAGCCCTTTTCATCCCAAGGGATCTCAAAGTGCTGCAGAGATGGTACTTCTTCACCAGCCATTTTAGGGGTAGAATACTGTCAAAATGCTGTAGGATAATACGAAAAATCAACCAAAGCAAGCTCTTGCTCATAAGCACTTATGCACCTCTGATTCAGTTAGTCTATGAGATGCACTTCTATCCTGACTTTTGCAAGGGGGGTATAAAAAAAAAAAAAAAAGTCAGGCTTGGTTTATATTGCATCTCCCCAAAAAACTACACAAAGCATTCAAAGAGGCTGCGAGTAGGGGTATGCATGTTCACATACACACAAACACAGTCTCTGCTCCTGTGCACACAGATCTTAGCTAAAAATTATTCTGGACTTTGGAGTAGAACGTCACCCTCTGGACTCCAAGGCAACTGCAGCCCCATATAAGGTTTCAGGACTAATGGGGTAATGTTCAACCCTCCCCCCTACAGGGATCATTACTGTGTTGACAAAGATTTGTGCATGGGAAATAACCTTTCTAGGATTCCCAAACCATGACCAGCTTCACTCTGGGAAAGGCAGCAGCCCCACTAGCATTTCCCTGGTTGAAGGAGAGGTGAGGGTTGTAGAAATTGATCTGCAGCATGTTCCCCAGGAAAGGCAAAGAGGGTGGCCCAGGTGGGTAGCGACTCCAGCTTCTACTGCGCTTTATAAAAACAAATAGCAGACCAAAGGCTGTGAGGGAAAAGCCCAGTATGGGTAAACTGTTCCAGCAAGATGCAAGCTGGGACCAAAGCTGGAAAAGATGCTCCACGATCTCTTTCCTTTCTCCTCCTCAACTTGTACTCTTTGCTGCTTCCTCCTTTGCTTGTCTGCCTCCCCTCTATTATCTCACTTTCTTTGACTCATGCCCTTTCCATTGCTTTCTCTCTCTCTGCTTTTATTCGTCTGTCCTCCTCTACTCTTCTCCCTTCCAACACCCCCCCCCCTTTTTCCTGGTAGGAAGCCTGGCTCCTGTTTCTCTCTAGCCTCTCCTCTGATGTGACGATACAAATCTATGTGGGGAGCGGCTTCTGTAAAAGGGAAACAGGCTCCCTTCGCTATACCTCAGGTTTCTGTTATGTCCTGCTGTTCTGTTAAGCATGCACAGCTGGAACAAAGTTTGGAAAAGCCTGGAAGGTGTCAGCTCAACTAACCAATATTATAATTTCCCCCCATCATTTTTCCAGCAGCTTGATTAACACAATTAACATACATTAATCAGAGGTTTCTTGCAACATTTCCACATAGCCAGTCCTAGATCTGCTGCTTACTAGGTTGGCAAAGAGCTGTGGAAGATTGGACTTTGTTGCATGGAAAAGATTGCAGCCCCTAGCACCTGAAGCAGATGCCATCAACTGTCACCTGTGGTAGCACTGCAGTGATCACTGGTTGCGGTGATGGACAGAATGCTGATATGTAACCAACTCATTGAGACGGATTCATAAAACTTAGGTTGGGGATAGCTTTAATGTTCAACCAGGCATGAATGAGAAGAATGAAACTATTTTTACTATGGAACAGTAAGCAAGTCGCTGCAGACCCTTTGTCTCTAACTAGCTCCATCTTAACTCCAGGACCATCTCCCAATTCCCACCTTTCTCAGTCTCCTATGTTAAGAGAGCATCTCTAGATTGTAACTACAAGCACCATGAGTAACCTGATTTTCCTGAATCTTGGAATGAGTTGCATAAACTGTTTAACCAAATCCATTTTCATTTACTGGCTCATTTTTTTACATTGAACTTAAAAGTAAAGCCAGCTATTAACACTGACAAGAACAGGGCAGTTTTCTAAAGGAACTAGTGACTTTGAGTGCCTCAGGGCTTGATGGCTCAGCTTGAGATCAGGGTTTTCCAGACTCCAACCGCTTTCTGAAAAGACATGAAAGGCCTGGATTTATCTCAACCAGCCATGAGCACCCAAAACCAGGGGAAAGTCATAAGCCGCTTCTGAAGACTTTGGCCAAAATAGTAAGAATCAGTCAGGTCTTCACAATCTTGCAAGAAAACAAAGGACCCATGAAGACAGAAATAATCTGCCAGCCCCAGGCCGCACACCAAGAGCAACAAAAAAAATCAGACCTAAGTGACTGACATGGAGATAATGCTGACACATAACCAACTTTTTGAGACCAAATGCATCACTTCTCTTAGAGGTAGCTGAATGTTTAGCACATGGCTTTAATGCTCTAATTCTAGGGTGACCAGTACTGCCATTCTTTCCAGAAGAACAGCATTTCAGGCACTAATGGGAAGTCCAGTCTATTGAGGTAATTGTAGTTGAAGGACTGAAGACTGTATTTTCAGGACCCAACCTTAGGACACAGGAGTTACATGACTCCACCAGAGGGAGAGAAGATACCTGCAGACTTAAGACTGAAGAAGAGAGCACTGAAAGAAACTGGGAGGAGTTAAAGGTACAGTTAGCCCGGGAAAATATGGCAGGAAGAAAATAGGAAACAAATACAGACTTCTGTTGCACAGCTGTATAACTGTCTATTATCAGCCCAGAGGAATTTTCCATCTATTGACTCCTCTGTGAAATCCTATGAAATACGAAATTTCATTTCTACCCAGGCAAACTGTTACAATCTTTTCTCCAATGCCTGATGAAGTGTTTGTGCCTGAAAGCCTGCAATTAAAGACATTTTTTTACAAAAATCTTGTTTAATAAAAGATATCATCTCTACTACAAGTCCTGGTTGCCTTTTCCTCTAGACCAATATGACTACAACCTGGATACCTATTATCAGCAGCAGCATTATCATCATCATCATCATGTTGTACAGCTAGAGTGACACCTTACATTTAGATGCTACTGGAATACAGGAAATAAAACATGCATATGAGGATTCTTGTTGCTTTTCAAATAAAGAGGATAAAATATGTGATAAGGCTATCTCGTGACAAGGTGAGGGAGTCCAGATCCAGGGGTCCATGGGCTAGATCCAGTCGATGGACCATACATTGCCACGGCATACAGTTCTTCAGGTCTGAGTATGTTAAGGAATGAACTGCAGACAGTTTCCTTGTTTACCAGCTCTTCCACATTGACTAGTAAGCAGCACCATATCTAGACTCCTGGCGGCCCCGGGCAAAGTATCGGGCCCCACTTCACCAGAGATAATGATGATAATAATCGAACAACGGAAAAAAAATTACCATTTTCGGGCCCCCTTTCTGTCGGGGCCTCGGGCGGCCACCTGGTTTGCCCATGCCTGTGTCCAGCTCTGCTAGTAAGCAGGGCAGGGCAACGGGTTACAACGAGGCCAGGTCTGAGAGACAGCTTTGCTGGAGAAAAGAGAAAAGTGAGGAGTCTGCATGGAGGTTTATTGCCCAATATCTGTTGTGTGGATGAGACTGGACTCATCTCCACTGTCCTCAGCTGTGGATTCCCATGTGCAAACACTATTGCACTCTAGGTGGGCAGACAGACACATGCACCAGAATGCTAGTCACTGGCACAAAAGAAACATTTCTGTAGAAATAATTCTTACAATCCCCACTACTGCTTCTCATCCCCTCCTGGAGCACAAAATTGCTGGCACATGAGATTTCAATACTTATCATTATTACAGAGATGCCGGATAGAGGATTCACATCCACACCAGCATCCCAGGGCCCCATTGAATGACCAGACCAACTCTACCTGAGAAGTCAGAACAGACTGTCATTTCATAACTGTCTCTACTTCTCTTTTTCCTACCCTCACAGCTGGGCTTCTGTCTTCCACTGCTCAAGATCACCTTGCTTTTCCTCACATATTCTTTTTCGTTCTTCACTATCCTCCATTAAGGATGCCATGCTGCTCTTTATGAGTAAAGCCAACTGCAGCAGATGGTCACCTTGGCTTAAGTCCACTTTGAGAAAAGACCATGGAAAATGTTGCAGAGTAAATGAGACCTGTTAGGAACTAAGGTGAATCAATTTTTACAAAGAGAACTGAGGACAAAGTAAGAAGTGTTTGATTGTAAGGCACCAGCTCCAGCATGGTCCTATATCAAGAAGCATAGTTAGATCAAAAGTATGAGATATGGAGCCTATTCTAACTAGATACCTTGCTCAAAAAGCAGCCCTGGGCTGTAGTGACCCTGTGTTGTTACCACCTAACAGCTCCTTGATTGTATGCAACAATAAATTGGTGTTTTCACACCAGCTTCCAGCAAGACAACTGCCTATTTTACCAAAATGAAACTCATATTCACAGGCACTGCCACAATTGGTAATGACTGTCTCCCCTTTTGGCAACCACAGGAAGAAAAGCTAGGTTCCTGAACCCCCTCTCAGAGTTGTAGAGTTGGTCTCCCCAGATTGGCATAAGGTGCCTGTGGAAATCCTTCATTTCAACCACCCATCCTCTATCCATTCTGCAGACAGATAAATTTAAATTTGAAAAAGGGCTGCCAATACTGCTTTTTTCATTAAAGAACACTGATCAAAGTAGTAATTTAGAGGTCTAGTGTTGTTGGCTTAGAAATGGTATTTAAAGGCCTGTTTTTTTAGGAATTGGCTTATAGGTACAGTTATATGTATTTTAAAGGGTCAGGATGGGCAGCAGGGGTTAATTTGATTTCTAAAGAGCTTGGGACACACGCACACAGCTTCTCATGGCCCTAGAAGTAGCTGGGCTGCCTAGCACAACAAGGTCAATGGATGGACACAACCTGAGAATAAAGAGGGGCATGCTATAATGCAAGATTACAGCCTTCAAGGCAGATGGGTTGTCTAACACAACAAGGACACAGCCTAGGAAACCGCCTGGGAAGCAAAGGAAGTATGTACCATACTGTCCCATAACACAAGATTAAGTGCCACCAGCAACAAGGTCCACAAAAGCGGGGGGGGGCTAAGTCCCGGTTTTGGCAGAACAGACAAAACTAGGAGAAGGCCCAGAAGGCTATGTGGACATGTGACCACAGAGAGACAACCAACCAGAGACAGCCACAGATAAAGAGTCATCAGGAGTCATCAAGGGGGAAGCAAAATACAAAAGCAGAGACTTGAGATTAACAAAGGGTCCCTCTTTGTTTTGCTCCCTGAGGGGGGTCCCCACCTCTGTCCCCCCAGGAAGGGTCCCCAAGGCCACCATGCACCAAGGGCATACCGATAGCCCATCTCATGCACCCCACTGGAGGGGGACTGTGGGCCTCGGCATCCCACCTCCAGACTGCTGACACCTAAGAGCGAGAGCCTCATAGTGGAGCCTGCATCCTGACCAGATGTACTTTGACTCTGATGACAGACCTAGGATTGGTAGATACAGAATTGTTTGATTGGGTTTTTTTGTTTTTTACTCTGTATCAATAAATTCACCTATTATCAACTGGCAGGTGTTGTGGTCGGTCTGAGGGTTGTGCCCACCCAGAACAAAGGTATAGGTTCTGGGTCCAAAATCCAGTCCAACAGTGTATCCCCAGCCCATGCAGAATTATTCTCTATAATAAGAAGTTTTTAGTGCTTTACCCATTCTGCATGAAGATGTAGGGACCAAGTGAAACCCCTTGACTGACAGAACACTTGGACAGTGGAAAAAGCTTTCTGGGGAAATAATGGAACCTCCTTCAGTGGAGGTCAAGAGGAGCCTGGGTAGGCTGAGATAGTATAGGAACAGCACATCTTTTTGGATTAAATAACCCTTCCAACCCTATGATGCTAGGATTTTAACCGTGCTTCCATAGCTGTTCTGATGGACAAGCTGTAGGAAAGAGTCCCCAGGAAGAAACAGCCCTGAAAAACATCACTACCACCCAAATGTGCCCTGGTGATACCTGCAAAAACACTGGATAATTTTGACAGCAGCTTGTCAGCTGACCAGATCAGGTGCAACTCTGGCTCCTTCTCTCTGTTGAACTGCTTGAGGACCTCTTTTGCCTGGAGAGAACAAAAAGAACGCAAAGACTGTGTTCTCACGGGGCCAGTTGCAATAAGGCATGAAGTTCTGCTTGTG